TAGTTACCTCAATCCCCCTTGCACCATGTCCAAAGTCAACATTGAATCCCTCTTTAAATTTTTCCAAAGTATGTCTCTGAGATAATAAAACTGTTGACAACTTAATCAGATTCGCTATCTCCTGAGGGGAGTCTTCCCATAGTTGCTGTACAGTTATATCATTCTGTTTGGCAAACACTAGCAGCACTGCTGAGAGTTCATATGCTTGCCATTCTTCTGAACTAAGTCTGTCTAATTCATTGCAGAGTGTCCATAATGGCTCAGAGATACACTTCAATGCCTCCATCAAATCTATATCTTCTCCAAAAAGCCAATCTAACACATAAGCAGCAAGCCATTTTGGATAAGCAATGTTATGGATAATTGACCACCATAACAGTCTACCCACAGTTCTGGTCTCTTGGGCAAACACTGCATGCATCCTGGGAGTGAGTGTGTTGTTTGTAAAAAGTGGACCAAAAATAGGAAATTCGCACACCCTAATTTGTTCCCAAAAGCTCTCAACAATGTCACGTAATACCCCTCCAATGTCAACAGCTTGCTCACTTTGTATTGTGATAACAGGTGTTGCTAGCATATCCACAATACTCGCATTCTCAGCCCATGTTAGTAAGTCATTAATTAGTGAACTACAATTGTGGATTACAATCCGCATTTGTTGGCTTTCTGTTATATTCAATAGAGTGTGGATTGACAAACGGGTATTATTCATATTCGCATGTATTGTTGTGTGTAATAAATGTGTGTCTAATGACTGTTGGTCTGATAAGGATGGATAAGGATTTGGCTGAGATGATGGAGGTATAATAGATTGTTGCAAAGAAGATGAGGATGATGGTGAAATGGTGGGTATTGATGGCGACAAAATAGGTGATGTATGTGAAGTTGAATGGGGAGATTGTTGCATATCATCAATACTTGCAGCAGGAGCCTTTGTAACATATAATTTCCTAGGTTGATGCATTGTTGCTGCACTACAAATTTAATGAGGCTACACTTACAATATATTTTAAGATAAAAAGTACATGTGAAATATTTACATACCTTCAAAGATCATTAAATGTATATGGGCCATTGTTATCCACAATCTGCAGGAATACCCCTTGTCTCTGGCCTTCAGTTTCATTTGTAAATCCTAAGAGAAGCCAATTATCATCACCTAGCTGTGGTAATGATGCCCTTATTATGGCATCAATCACCTGTGGTTCATCAGTTGATTGAAATATGACATTTGGAATGATGTCTGCATTGTCAAAATTTCTAATTCTTGGTCATTGATTTGCAGCTAAATCTCTCACATAAATTAGTGTAACACTCAGTCTAGCTACTGGGCGACCAACAGCTCGTTGTTGACATTGACGACCATGTCTTGGGGTACCATGTTGACTGAGTGCTATTAGTGGATCAAATGGAGCATTATTTCTTCTTTGCCTCGTGATAGGGGATGCATGATTTTGTCTGAAAATGCCCAATGTTTCACTGTTAAGAACTTGACGAGGAAGCTCCTGCTGGTCATTATGTCTATTGGATTGAATGGCAGTTTGGTTATTGTGACAGGTGGTGCCAACAGTGGTAGAGGCAACAACAAAGAATATGAATTAATGATAGCCTATTACCATATTAAGCAGTTAGTAATTCATTAGCCTTTACAGATAACAGATTGAAATGAGATTACTTACTCTGCAATGAAAAGCAATTGAATGTTCACAATTTATGCAGATCATCGAATTGGATGAAGTGGCAAAGGAATAGCAAGAACAGTTTGTGAAGACACAAACGAAATTCATTTTGTAAATTACAAAAAAGCTGTTATTAGCAATTAAACAGATAACAGCGTCTTGTGCGCATTTTATAATTAAAGAAATTGTCCCTTGGAAAACTGGGAAAAAACTGATATATTTTCCATAAACTTTTGTTAATTAACTATTATCTCTGGAAAAACTGGGAAATTTCATTAGACAGTCAACTTCGTAAAGATATTGCACTATCCATATGAAAACAATTTCAACACCAATTAGTAAAATTGGCATGCAGATCCTAAATCATAACAAAAATTACACAACCAGACATTAATTATCACCAATCAATATATTACCATTTTGAATAGTTTCTTTGCTTGCACGTCAGTTTGGAATAATATGGACTAATATTATAACAAATAAATAATACAAAGAGTATCGTGTTCTTACTAACGAGTTTGCCATAATACGGTTTATGATGCTCAAATGCTATCTTTTGCTAATGTGTGAATTATTGAATACACACAATTTATACAATTATCTGCTTGCAATCATTCAATGTCGACAGTAATTTTAGCAGTTTACAGTTAGTAGTAAATGTAGCTGCTTTCTGTTATTATTATGTGTGGGCCTAATCCAGTCAGGGATTTTACCAAAAATGGACAGTGGCGATTGCTTCTTTTATGGTAAAGAACTGTTGATCAGAATATTCTAGACATTTCGAAAATTTATTCCATGCATGTGACATAATTTTGATTGGATATGATATGTTTATTACATTTTTATAGACCAATACTATCAACTTCATTATCTGAATTGAACAAAGATTTTACCTCTTCTAATATCTTCAACAATTCATCTTGCCTTTTAGATTTTATATTACCATACCTCTTCTGAAGGCTCTCACTCATTTGTTCAAGAAGAGCTTCTACAGAGAAAACCCTCTAAGTGCACACCCTCTAAATGCACACCCTCCCTAAATGCACGGTTTGGCACGGTCCCGAGC